TGAGATGATTTGTTTGTGCCTGAGATGATTCTCCATCCTCCCCGTGCAGCTGGGCAGTGTCACCCCTCTTTTATCCTTCAGCAGAAGCAGGACAGGAATCCTACAGCACGGTGTTGGCTCTGAAGGTCCAGAAGCTCTCACTCTGACACACTGGTCTGGCACAGTGCACTTCCTGGACACGTGGCACTGCTCAAAGTCACTCTTCCACTCCTCACTCTGCTATTTGCCACATGCTTCATTAACTGTTCATTCCTCTAATGTCTTGAATGATGATCATGTTTAGGTTCGGTTGTCACTGCTTCACTGTAACCCAAATAAAGCATCGCTCTGTAACTGACACAGGGGCCTTCAGGAAACTTCCACTGGGCATTGAAAACAAACTCCGTGTCAGCGGCTAACGGGCGGCTTTTTGTGCTCAGCAGGATAGAACTCAATGGCTGAGATCACTGTTGGGTCCTTGGTCAGACCCGGCTTCCTCAAAGATGTATGTCACTTTGGATAAAAACATCTGCTAAATAAATGATCTGATAAATAAGTGCTTCCTGTCTCATCACTCTACGTCCTCCACAGAAAATGTTGGCATTTCGACACATACTCCCTCAGCCCAGCAGGGGGAGTCTTGGAGCCTCACCTGGCAACCCTTCTTCATTAAATGTCCACCTGGACTCTAATTGACAGAAACATGTCAATTAATGCAGTGCCATCCAAGGAATCTAAGACCATGGGCATTCAACGCTGTTTTTGACCTTCTCCTTCACACATAGATATTTCTCCAGATTATGTAACTCATTTCAAATCTTTTAATAACATTATGCACCGCATTGGGTAAAATCAGCAAATTCTTTCTAGTGGTGCATTAGTTAGTTGGTTTATTTTATCATGCAGCTCTGAGCAAAGAGACGAGCTTCAGTTCTTCCTTCCTCCTAAATGACTCAACCTTTCATCAATTCTCCTTTTATACCCAAGCATGATATTGTCACCTATGCAAAATGCTTTTTAAAAAAATTCCAGAATGTTCAGGTCGGCCCTGCATCGGTCAGCAGCCATACAACCTGCAGTTGGGCCTAGATAACCCACCTGAAGTTAAGCAGGTTTGGGCCTGGCCAGTACTTGGATGGGAGACCAGCTGGGAATGATGAAGAGGGTTCCGGAGCAACTGGAGATAGACAGGACAGGTTGTGACAGAGCTCCCTGGCAGAGATGTTGGTGTGGCCAACAGGGAAGCCCATCTTGTGCTCTTTGTGGATCCCAGTGCAGTGATGGGGACACAGTGGCTAACAGGGAAGCCCATCTTGTGCTCTGTGTGGATCCCAGTGCAGTGATGGGGACACAGTG